GCGTTTATTTTATGACTCAGACTTTAAAGGGTTACACTGAGATGTGTGCAAGCATATGCACATAAACACATCAAAATGTACCTTATCTGCAGGTGGTTGGTGGTGGACAGAGAACAGAGCTCCTATGATGATATCACCAGGGATATTATATATATATATATAACTTTCCAGAGTGGCGAATGCCTTCTTTAGCTGATGTAACTGGTTCACAAAATTGTGGAAAACTGTTCAGGTAATACATATATACATACATAGGAAAAAATCAGAGTGTACACATGTAATTACATTCATGAAATAAGAAATAGAAAGTCAGCTGGATAACCCCCATTGTGTACTACATGTTAAAAAATGTGTTTTTAACATGTAGTACATGCTAGAAGAATAGATGTAGTGTAAACATCAGACTACTTTACAGTACCCTGGAGAAGAAAATTCAGCATGCAAAACACACTTACTTTAAATCCTGCCCTACAGTAGATTGGTAATTATACTAAAAAAAAAAAAGAAGAAGAAAAAAGGAACAATCCTGACAAAATCTGGCACTTAAGAGCGATTTATTTCAGAATTGTATGTCCTGGAGCCACCGAGACATTATAAAAGAGGCAGTAAATATATGGAAACCCTTTTGAATAAAGATAAGAGTGATGCATTCGGAGTATATTTTCTTGTGATTAGTTAATGTTTGTTACACTGACGTTTGCTTTTTGGGGAGTATTGTGCATCGCAGCCTGGTGTGTCATTGTCGCCAGAGGACAACAATAAATATGAAAGTTTATTACTTTATCGCTGGAACACTAAGTAAAGTTAGTGCTGTAAGAATGTTAGGCAGAAACTTAAGCATTAATGAAATCAGGGGACAAAGCAGCCTGATACACAAACAGTTCAAAGCTTGTGACAATGATCAATTTAGAATTTTTTTAATGATCAGTTGTACATTAACAGACAATGAATTTGCCTAAAAAATGCACATTGATATGTTTGTGGGCGTGGATGTAAAGACAAAAGCACATTTTAGAATTATTGCTTCACAAGGCTTTTTGAATTTTTCGATATATTCAGCTAAGCTCCTTTTGTTGTGTGTTGTGCTTTTTTTTTGCACCCCCTCACAGGTAAACTTAAAAATTCTTGAATCAGATGAATGAATGGGGAGTCACGTGCTTCCTGATGACTAAAAAGCTTTAAAATAGATTCTTATATATGTATATATGTGGTCTTTGGCAGGAACAGAATAAAGCAGAATAACAGAAAAAACCCTAACACTCTGATATACACAGTCTTACCTTCAGTGTGTATTGCAGACACGTAGCTCCAGTTGTATCTCTTGACAATGTCCACCATTGCTCTGGCCTGTTGCATATCTGATGGTACTACTCTCATGAAATATTTATACAGGCTCTGTTGGAAGGAATTTACATGATCACCAGTCTGGCAGTTTAGCTGGCTTATCTGCATGCAACAGCTCGTCTACTAGTTTGCATATTCATCCCTTATAATCTTTACACCATACCCATCGCTGTGCGCTAGCTTCAAGCAGATTCTCAAAATTGAGATCACATTTTATCGAACATGATGTAAACCAAGCTGAAGTTTTTAGATTGGTTTGTGTTTTTGTATTTTACAAAACAAAAACCAAAAAACTCAAAGCACTAACTGTTTTTTTTTTTTTTTTTTTTTTCCCTGCCACACTTGCTACGCATGTCCTAACACTTTGATGAGGACATGCTTACTGCTTTGTTATTCAGTGTGGATTTAAAGTTTGCAGCTCTGTTGTTAGCGAGTTTGTTGACTAGCCGTACCTTGTCACTGAGATCCATGCTGGTGGCTGAGTAAGCTATCTGTGGGATGTTGAAGAGCTGGAGGAGATTTTGCACCTGGATGGCCACAGAGCTGGAACCTGGTCCAATAAGTCCCACAATAGGCTTCTTCCCCTGAAGAAGCATGCTCCCTCCTTCTGCCGTGCATCTGCCCTGGCTCTCCTCCTCGTCGCTTGACACTAGTGTGTCCCGAATAAACTCAATACTCTGTTCCAGTGCCACGGCAGAGTGCCAGCACGAATCCCTGGTGTAGAAAGACTGAGTTAGCAATCACACTGTTTTGGCAGGAATTATGGGAACATGAGGTGAGGATTGTACAGTCTGTGCTTCAGTGATTTTGAGGAAACCACTACACAAAGACAATTTCAAAATTCCTCAGAAGTCTGGAATTCAATGTTTAGGAAGTCTGTGCTAATCAGAGCGGATCAGTGTCTTTTAAGGTCTTTATAGTACAAAATTCCCACTTTGTTTTCCATGAGCTGTGTCAGGAAACACAAGCAGGTCATCACAAGCAGGCTTGCTGATGACTTCAAAATGTTGCTTTTAAATACTGCATTTAATTCAAAAGAAACTACACTCTACCCTTACCTGTCATGCTGCTTTTGTGGCTTAATTCCTCCAGCTACGGTTCACTTGCTTGCACTTAACCATCTTCAGAGTCTATTTGAAAGTTTGCTTGGTTCTCCTCTGATGCCTATAAACATCTCCCCCATGTACTTTGATATTGTCTATTCATCCAAACCAAAGTTTAGAAGCCTTCTTAAAATTCTGTGTTTAATATAATATTATAATTTATCTCATAATGAACCAGTCTGTAAGCCAAACCATCAGTTGAATAAAAATTCTTCATTGTGTAAATATTGTGTAAGGCTGACAACAATGTCCTGCTAAAACAAAAAGACAACACAGTGAGCTTTGTCAGTGCTGACCTGATCTCGCAGCCCAGGCTGATGTTGGGAAGGATGGTGGGGTCTGCATTAATTCGGTCCAGAGTGTGCATCATGGCTTCCACTCTCTGGATCCCGTACTGCTCACGGACCGCACCACACTTTCGCTCATGGACCTGATCAGCACAGATGGATGATTTACATTTGTGACACTAACCCCCTTAACGCCTAGTGTATGTGATCTCTCTCCCCCCCCCCTGTTTTTTTATCAATAAATTGCAAACAAAAAATAACAAATGCAGGATGGAGCAAATATGATAGAAATTAAAACTCATATATGCAAATATTAATATTTCATTTGTTTTAATTGTCAGAAGGTTCAATAACCACTCCTGTTTTGCAAAATTTAAATTTTCTGGCGTTTATTTTATGACTCAGACTTTAAAGGGTTACACTGAGATGTGTGCAAGCATATGCACATAAACACATCAAAATGTACCTTATCTGCAGGTGGTTGGTGGTGGACAGAGAACAGAGCTCCTATGATGATATCACCAGGGATATGTGCCAATACCCTTCTCTCGTTGTTCTGGGCATTGACCCCAACCTGGTCTTTCAAGCCCAGCCAGCTCACATCAGTTCCCAGTAGCACAGCCACCGCTAACAACCGCACATTCAACTTCAGGATGTGTCCCATCCCCGTGGCCCTCGTTACACCTCCCGCCATCTTCTGACCACTTATAGCTGAGGTTCAGCTGAGGATTTTGCGTTTGGCATTGTGCTTGTAGAGTCAAGGGCAAGGGTTGGATTCCTGAGCAAGAGCATTATAGAATTATTTTAAAACATAAAAGTTCAGACAGCATTTTTAGGTACGATGAAAATGAAAAATGTTTTCACTTTCTCTATGACATCCAGTTGCTGTCTGTGGTGCTGAAACTGCAGTGCATCTTGCAACTTGGGTAAAACTGACATAGAGCCAGGTGTTTCAGTGGAGTACTACAACCTACTTAAAACTCGGAAATCTCCTCTGCTTTAATAATTCATCAACAGCCACAGAGCGCTTCGCATAAGCAAACTAAAAGATAGCTTCAGCCTACCTTATTTCTGCCCGTGCAGATGATATTCCTTCTGAGATCGTTTCCATCACCAAGGAGCAATTTTTTAACAAATAAAAAGCGCTGCGCACTGCCTGGTTACAGCACACTGCAAATAGCAGCAGATAATGCCCGTTATTGGAACATGCTTGACTTACTGACGCACACGACAGGCTCCCCTCCTACTCCTTTACCTCCTCCTCCTCCTCCTCCTCCACCAAAACAGTGGAAAGCATGGAGCATCAACAGAAGGTATAACGATGGAATTCTTCTACAGGGGAGCGACTTAGACGCACTATTAAAAGACAAAAACAAAGGTGTGGAAGGGGGGATGAATAAAGGGAAAAAAGAGGTGTGAGATCATCCGCGTGCCTTTGTGTTTTAATTGTTACCACCTTTTAATGATATCTGTATATATGTTTGAATTTTTAACAGTTCATTTCCTCTGATTATATAAAAAAATAAGTTTTAATAATGAACGAAAAATGATTCAGGCTCATGCTCTTGTTTTTTTATGAGTAATTGTGTTTTGAGCCCATTCACAATTCACCATTTACTTATCTTGATATTTAAATTCGTCATTCCAAAATGAGACCTGGCTGGAGTTTGGACTGCATGGAAAAATAACAGTATCCACAAGAGAAGAGGAGATGAACTGATTGTTTCTTGGAATTCAACTGCAGCTTTTTCCCTTTCTTGCTTTAGGGCAGAATTTTAAATTACAGGTCTTATTTCTACAAAACTGACACCTCTCTCTGTTTCACTGCATCTCTTTTAATGACATTCTGTTTTCGGAATAATAAAAAGGGAAGAAAGAAAGAAAAAATAAACCTGTGGCGTTACCATGCAAACCAGCCTGCAATCTCAATGTTGGAAGTAGAATCCAAGACATCCCACAACTTGTGTGTTGATCATTTTCACCTCAACAAAAAGGGCGTTTAATATGTTGTTTTTGATGATCTTCATCATCTGCATCTGAAAATAGGGGGGAAAGTATAAGAACGATGGGATTCCCTAACTTGCTTAGGGAATATAAGTGTGGAAAAAATAGTCACAGATTTGTTTGATTTAGTTACTTGAACGCAACACCAAGCTTTAAGAGACCACACTTTAGCTATTCGCTTCAAAGAAACACAAGCCACGACATCAGAAGACAAAGGAATAGATTTTGATGAGAAGATATTTTGCAAAAATCCATCTGAGCTATCAAAATTCAGAAATGAATATATGTGTACACAGGCATAGAAGCTAACCTGTTCGCTGGTGTCCGATTTTGGTGTTTTCCTGTACATAAAAACAATTCCATCATAAAATGGTAACCTAAACGTGCAAATTGGCGCATTAAAAATAACCAGATTGCAGGAAATTAAGTCTTTGATGCTCAAAATTATCCGGGGGAGGATTTCCCAGGATGATTCTGAAAGCCTTGTGAATTTGTCCACCCCCATTTAATGTCGCATCCAATGCACAAATGAAACCTATGCACACATGTATCTAAGTAACTTACAAGTCACAATCACGTATTTAAATCTTAGTAATTTCACCAAAATATGCGTGCATTTTCTACAATGTGTCAGTGAACTCGAAAAGAGTATCTGCTCCTAAGCTTAGGCTTATTTGTTGCCTTGGGAGACGGGCAAAAAGAAAAGGTAGGCCCAGTGAACGAGCAAGATGATATTTATGGCTACGTAACGCCCTCTGGTGGGGACTCGCTTGTCGACAAGGGTAATGTCCCAATCCCGTGAACATCACATGAAAATTTTTCCGCAAAGTGAAAAAGTTGAACTTTCCAGTGAAGTTGAGATAGCAGTGGAGATGACACAGACATTACCGCTTCTACTGAAAGAGCACAATAAAGCTTTCTATAATATTACCACAATAAAGCTATTGCTTATGGCAGTTATCTTATCAGCTCGTCATATGAAGTCTCCTGTGTAGTGCACAATGGATGGTGACACCGGGTTCAGAATCATACGACCACAGATATTAAACAGTAAAAAAATCCATAAAGGACTTTTTGGAGAATGCTTGGTTACACAACAGTCTACATACAAATAGCCTACCACATACAAATCATATATGCAATGAAAATTTTCATCTTTAGTGCATAATTTGAAGTTATTGGGTTATTTAGCAGTGATTACTCACTGATTTTCATTCATGTCACAAAAAGGAGAGAAACGACAACATGAAAGCAGATTAAAATATGAAAATGTGTTTTTATGTTTGCTTGTCTTTGTTCATATTTCTCCTGTGGTTTGGGTACTGTCATGGTGAGTTTCATCCCGTAATGGCAGGAAAAACTGTTCATTTTAGTATGTGAGTGTGTAGATCATGAGTTTGTTTTGTTCTCATTATTAGGGCTGTGCACGCAGATAGAATCTGAAACACATAACCTGTGAAAATAATGAAGAAAGAACACTATTCTGATGTAAAAGTGGGCATACAGGTTTATCTGGCAGTAGACTCATCAGATAACCAAAACAAAAAAAAAGTCCCACAGGCCATAATTATTTCAGTTTTACATCACTAAAGTCTGCAGGCTGTAGGCTAGATACTGTTAATCCCATTCAAAGTCTTATTTTTCATGGTAGAGTGCTTAACCTCCCCCACCCCCATCCCCTGAAGTGAGGTTGAGCAGCATGTGACTACCTCTACAAAAAGAGGTGGGGGTAATGGGCGAGGATTTAAGCCAAGAATTCATAACGTTTCTGGTTATTTTCTTGGTCTTGGTCTAACGTGAAAGATTGCTGTAATGTGGTCTCTGGAAATCATTTGTTTTCTTCTGTGTTTTGTACCCAGTTATCAACAGTTCCCCCGCCTGTGCGCAACTCAGGAAGCCCTGCGCACCAAGGAGTGCTGCCCGCCTTGGGAAGGAGACGGCTCGGCCTGCGGTGCCAGCTCGGGCCGGGGCACCTGCGAGGATGTGGTGGTCTCTGCGCAGCCCGACGGGCCGCAGTACCCCTTCTCGGGATTGGACGACAGAGAGAAGTGGCCCTTGGTTTTCTACAACCGCACATGCCAGTGTACTGAGAACTTTATGGGTTTTAACTGCGGGGACTGCATGTTTGGCTACTTTGGTGAGAACTGTAATGAGAGGAGAGAGTCTCTGAGGAGGAATATATTTCACCTGTCCAGGGCGGAAAGAATCAAACTCGTGTCCTACTTGAACTTGGCCAAGCAGACAATTAGCAGGGACTATGTTGTGGTGACGGGAACCTACAGGGAGATGCAAAACGGAACCAACCCGATGTTTGCCGAAGTGTCTGTGTATGACGTGTTTGTGTGGATGCATTACTACGTGTCCCGGAATGCGCTCTTAGGCGGGCCGGGGAATGTGTGGACCGATGTGGACTTTGGCCACTGGGGGCCCGCATTTCTCCCGTGGCACCGAGCATACTTGTTGCACTGGGAGCACGAGATCAGGAAGCTGACTGGAGACATGAGTTTCACCATCCCGTACTGGGACTGGAGGGATGCCCAGGGCTGTGACGTGTGCACAGACGAGCTGATGGGGGACCGGAGCACACAGGATCCCAGTCTTATCAGCCCCGGCTCGGTCTTCTCATCCTGGAGGGTAAACGCGTTCACTGTGTGCTCTCACTTAATTAAGGACGAAACAACCTTTCTTTACGCATACGGCAATTTTTTTAAACATAAAATATACAATAATCAACTATACAACAACTGCAATAATACAATACTGCTTTTGCAGTCAGCTTTTGGTCTCATACAGTCAACTCGGAGCAGGACTATTTTCAAAGTTTTCTAATTTCAAACACATTTTCTTTGCATGCTCTGTACTGTTTACTGTCTGTCTGCATCCACAGGTCCTGTGCTCCCAAGCCCAGGACTACAGTGCCAGAGGTGTGCTGTGCGATGCTACAGAGGAAGGGCCCCTGCGTCGTAACCCTGGCAACCACAATCGCAATTTAGTGGAACGACTACCAACTGCAGATGATGTGGAGTTCACGCTGAGTCTGACCAACTATGACACCGGACCAATGGACCGCAGTGCCAACATGAGCTTCAGAAACACTCTGGAAGGTCAGATAAGCCTGATCACATATACAAACCCAGACTGCAATTTACCTCTCTGCACTCCTATTTTTCACTATTACTCATACAGTCTTTGCTTTTACTGCGTTATTTTGATTCTCTGCCTGTCTCTGGGCACCTGAAATGTGTAGGCTGCCCTCGATTTCTCTGGTTATTTTGGGTTCATTTTGAGGCCTTTGAACTGATTTTTGCACATACAGTGAAAATTAAATTTGGTTAAAATTAACCTCAAATTGGAGTCTCCAGTGTTAAAATTCACTCAGTAAAATGCATTACAAAACCCCCCAAAAAACTAGTCCTTCTTGGGTTTACTAACATATAATACCTGTGTAGGATTAAAGTACCTTCAGGATTACAGCAGTGTTTTGCTCAAATTCAGCTGTCATAGAAAGAAAGGGACTAATTGATAAACATTTACAGAAATGTGACAAAATAAAGGACAAGTTTATCAGGTTGTTCGGACATGATGTTCCACCCAAACTGCTTCAGTAACTTTGACTGTAAAAGCATCTTGAACCCTACTAGAAGGGATGGAAAGATATTGCCTTAATGAGCGTTTATGGTGATAACATAAAGCTCTGTCTAGCAGATTGGTCCAAAATCCTCAATAGCTGTGCAGTTGTGTTGAGATCTTTTCCCTGCAAGGGCCACACCATATGATTTACATCATTTTCATACGTGCCAAACTAGTCAGTGAGCCCACATAGATCATGGAGAGTGCATTGTCATCCTCTCTTTTAAAATGTTTTATAAAAAGTGATAACTCAGAACAGTTTATCACTGTTTTGCAGTGATCCTTCCTCTTAAGGAGACAAGTGGATAGACAAACAGAGCCACTCTATCCCCTTACTAAAGGGCTTAAGGTTTCAAATTTATCCGTAAATTTCCTTTGACTGGAGCTGTATAGCTACATAGCTATATTTTGAGACTTCTGCATTGACGTGACATGACTTATGTAAATAAAAACAGAATTTAATTTTGTGTAACGTCAAAAACCCAACTACATGCTACTATGTTTGTCAAGCTGATGAGACACTTTTCATTTTATAGGATTTGGAGATCCTCGGACGGGGTTGGGAAACAGTTCTCGTTTGGGCATGCATGCTGCTCTACACGTGTACATGAACGGATCCATGTCTTCAGTGCAGGGCTCTGCGAACGATCCCATATTTCTGCTTCATCATGCGTTTGTTGACTGGTGAGAGACAAAAACACCTTAAAAACACAGAAAACCGTACATTTGCACTCAATGCTTGAACTTAACACTGGTACTGTATTTGTTTTTGTCCCTGTTAGCCTTTATGAGCAGTGGCTCAGGAGGCACAGACCATCTCCATCCCAGTATCCAGAGTCAAATGCTCCTATAGGGCACAACAGCGAATACCACATGGCACCAATCCTACCTCTGCACAGGAACAGAGACTTCTTTATTTCCAGCAAAGACCTGGGATATGAATACACCCACCTGCTAGATGCTAGTGAGTTACCCTATGATCGCCTATGCCAGCCCCTTCTTCAACAACATTTATTGAATTTACCAAACAATGTCCTAATCGCAAACATATATGCTTTAAAGGCTTGTAATTTTGCCTTTAGGGGTTTAGGTCATTTACTTATCTTGCTTTGTTGAAACCTAAAAAGTAAACTCTACTTTGACATAACCAGCTATGTCCTCTTTGCAGGTCAAAAGCTAGCAGAATCATGGCACCCTTCCCTCGAGGAGTTGCGGGACATGTGGCCGTGGCTGCTTCTTGCAGGGCTTTGTGGAGGAATTTTGACAATAGCCATAGCTGCTGTGGTCCTAACTACAAAACGATGGCACAAAGGATCATCCTGGTTGCGTGCTAGAAGCTGGAAACATGCATTTGCTCTCCCTGAAAGACAACCACTTATCCGGAGCAATGAAATAGAGGAAACCAACCAACATAACTACCAAACAACTATGTGAAGGCAAAGCCTGTCTAGCTTAGTCTTATCCATCTATGAATTTTAATATAAAAATACTGTGAATTTTTACTTTGAACTATATGCTAACTAAAAACAACTTCTATGATATCTGATATTTCCAATATATTTAACTGTATTACAAGTGGGAATAAAAACCTGTGCATGCAGTAACTTTCAAAAATGGATTATGGGCCATGTTAAGCTTTAAACGTGTTCCTCCTACAACTGGTAACTTGTCAAACTCTACCAAGAAGATCATTTCTGACATGGTCTTTTTTTTTTTTTCAAGGGGATGTTCCACAGTGACTCGTCACATTTATTCTCTAGATTTCATACAGTTTAGTTGATTACCTTGAAAATCTGGTCTGGAGTGTGTTGCGTCAGCCATATATACACAAACATTTATTATGGTTTATTAAAAGCACGTCATGTGCATATATACACAACTGCAATTCAGAGTAAAGAGAAAAGTGTTTCGTCAGAGCCTTTTTTCCCTTGTTATGTTTATGTGGGAGTTGACTGAACCACATTTTGATTAATGTTTGAATTGATTCATGTTTGTAATGTGAAAAATGTTTTTTGGAAGAGAGAGAGAAAAAGTTTTATCTGCTTAAAAGTGAAGAACCGAGACTTCAGCAGCAACGGATTAGGTTCAGATTTCTAACCTATGACGAATGCAATAGATTAAAAAAAAAACCACAGTGACATTTGTAAAAGTCCTTGCAATTCCAAAAGTCGATGCAGTTCAAAAGCTTCTTTTGAAAGGTCACACCTACTAAAAAAAGCATTCAGCTTCCCATACTCTTTCACTCATGAAAGAGCGCGAGATTAAAACAAAACCCTGTTCTGCATATGTTATACACCCATACGCCAATTTATTAGGTACACCTATTTAGTTTCTTGGCAACGCTAATATCTAATCAGCCAATCACATGGCAGCATATCAGTGCATTTGCAGATGTAGAAATTGGTCAAGATGTCCTGTTTGAAGTTCACACTGTGCATCAGAAATGGGTGGAAGGAAACATGAGTTTAAATCATCTGTGTGAAACAGAAATATGCTTTTGTTCTGTAGCTATGAGACTGAATGTACACTTGCTGACCACTTAAATAAGGTACATCTATTTAACTGCTTGCTAATGCAAATGCAATTGCATGGCAGCCACTCAGTGCATTTAGGCATTTAGACATAGGTGACCTGCTGAAGTTCAAACCGAGCATCTGAATGGTGAAGAAAGGTGAAATAAGGATTAAATGACTTTGAACGTGTCATGGTTGATGGTGCCAGACATGCTGATGTGAGTGTTTTAGAAACTGCTGATCTACTGGGATTTTCCCTGCACAACCATCTCTAGGCTTTCCGATGCTTTCAGAGAATAGTTGGGAAAAAGAAATGAGTTCCAGTGAGCTTTGCTAAAAAATGCCTTGTTGACACCAGAGGTCAAAGGAAAAGACTAGTTCAAGCTGTTAGGAAGGTAACAGCAATTTAAATAACTATATTACAAAACAGGGTATGCAGAAGGGCACTGCTGAATGCACACGTTAAACCTTAAAGCAGATGGGCTACAGCAGCAGACAGGGTCACTGCTGTGAGCCAAGAATGGGAAACTGAGGCTAGTTTTATGTTGGCAAACTTTGAGTCTATTAGTACCAAGTGATAATTGTTCAAATACCTCAGCCTACCTGAGCGTGATGGACACTTCCAGCAGGATAACACATCTCATCACAAACCTCAAATTATCTCACACTGGTTTCTTGAAAATGGCAACGCGGCCTCAATTTAATAGAGTACCACTGGGATGTGGTGGAATGGAAAATTCACATTATGCTTGTACTGATGCGATCATGTCAATATGAACCAAAATATCAGGAGGGTTTCCAGGTCCTTGGTGAATTTATGCCATGAAGAATAAAGGCTGTTCTGAAGACAAAAGGTTTATTTAGCAAAGTGTATATGTTTGAATTCAAATTGCGACACAAACCATAGACAACCACTCCAGTTTTAAAATTTAATCTCAGAAGTTTATTTATTTTTTGGTCGGACAAACTGCTTCCCTTTCCTAGAACTTTACTTTTCCATTGCTTCTCCTTTTGCCAAATAACACTTCATACAATCTAAGCCTAGACACATGCTTTCGAGCATAGCATTTTATGATACAATATTTTGCTTAAAATACTTTGTATTTAATTGGCATTACAGTACATTCTCATTAAAACCACACTACTTTGTTTTGACAAGAAATAAGATAAATACAGTATCTGAAAGCAAAACTTGTACAAAATTTACATTGAGTGTAGTGAAGTAAAAAACATAATTTGGAGCAAATTTACAATTTTTACTGAGAAAGGTATGGATAGTTAGAGTGCATCTCCAAAGTATATCTCAAGAGAATTCAGCTGTGATAGTTCTCGTCTCACAATTGATTCAGAATACATTTCATAAAACACAAGTTTGGATAACATATTGACGTAAGCAGACAAATCAAGACAATCCGGGGCAGCTTTTTGGTCTGATGTATTAAATTTAGGAAAAACAAAAATGATTTTATTCCTGAAAATATGAGATCTGGTCACAGCCACGGTCCATTAGTGTGACATGGGTCTGCATGGGTGTGAAAGTGAGCAGAATTAAAACTGACAACTTATTTTAAGGCATGATGTAATTCTCCAGGGACTTCAGTGCAATTTAGCTGGG